CTTCATATGCTCGCAAAAATCCCATGAAGTTGATCAAGGGTCATGGTGTCCAAGAAATTTGACTCTTCAATGGCAACGCTAACAAACTCAAGTTTTGAGTTAAGGAATCTAAGAATTTTCTCGATGACATGAACTTCTTCAATATTCTCCCGTTACCATTTCATATGATTGGCAAAGGAGGACATTCTAGTGAAATAGTCCAAAACAGATTTTGACTCTTTCATATGTAGAGATTCGACGAAAATTTTGAAGGTGAACCTTGTTTATTTCATCAATTCCCTTGAAATTGTTCTTGAAAATCTCCTAAACTTCTTTAGCTTTTGTTGAGGAAGCAACTTTTTGAAAATGGCTTCTTCTACGCTCATGTGAATAATAGAGAGAGCGTGTTGATCTGACTTGTGGTTCCTTTGCAAGACATTCCTTTGAGCTTGACTTAACACTTCTTTAGTCGCGATTCATCATATCCTTTCTCCACAACTTCACATGCTTCCTATAAGCCAAGCGACGCCTTCATCCATATGCTTCAATGTCCATAATTTTCCTTTGTAATTCTTGGAATAACGAAAGAAAATGAACTATTCATCTTTCAAAGTTGCTCTGATACCACTTTGCTAGAAAATAAACAATTATGGGATGAAAGGATAGAGAGAAACACAAGAATTTCTTAAGAGATACTAGAATTTATCTATATGTGAAAGTATTTAAGTTTTTCACTCATAGATATATGGATAGACATCTGGTTAAATTGAGGAGCCTTTCCAAACTTTCACATTACTACTTGAAATAACGTTTTAATTACTCTAATTAAAACCTACCAATTATATTAATGCAAATTCACCATGTAATTCTTCAACTTCTATATTTATTCTTGCATCTCTATTTCCTTAACATTTCTCCCCTTTGATTATTACCAACCCATCATACATAATAAAATCCATTAGATTACTCTTGCTTACTTTAAATCACTACCTTATATAACCCCTATAGATAATGAGATTGTTTTTTTAAAGTTGTTGAAATTGGTCGAAACCCAATTCACTCATAAGGTGCTCCTTAGAAATATTACAACGACGATGAGGAAAAAAATGGACGAGGTAGCATTCCTAGTGAATTCTTGTATAAAAACTTGTTGCTGGTTAGTTGAATTATGGGTAGATCATAACCCATTCTTTCTTTTTGCCGACATTTTTAATTATCCTGCCAAGAGATCGCAGGAATATGGTTGACCTACAATTTTCCCCTTTCATTTCTAAAGGTGAGGTCTAGCGTATTTGTTTAGTGTAAGTAAGTGAGAAAAATAAGCTAATATCTATTTTTTTGCCCCTTGAAATTTCAATAACAGGGAGTCTTGTAGAAGTCATCGTTCTTCTTTTTGGTACCTTTTGGTTTACTTGGAATTAAAGAGAAGAAAGCTAATAGCGATGAAGTGGAACTTATTGCTTCAAACTGGTGGCTTACTGTTGCAAGAACAACTCATTAGAAGATACATGTTAACCGTTATGTTTTGTGACTCAAATTTCATGTGATTTGAAGGTATGATTCATGTGGGAAGCCTAAAAAATTTTGGTTTGAAAGTTGATTTGATAAGGGATCAAATTTCATCGTGGATTGAGATTTTGATTAGGAAATGAACTTTAAAATGGATTAGGAAGTGTTTTGGACGCATTGGGACCGAGACAGGGTGCATAGGTGCCGAGAACAAAAGAAAGAGGGTAGTCGGCCTCCAGACGTTGGGGTTGCCATGGTGTCGGGAGGGTGGAGCCGTGGCACCGCCTGTTCAGGGAGAATTTCATTTCTGTTTGGTTTTTTATACAGTTTTGCATTCTAGTTCATCCATAACTCCAAGATTTGGCTCCTTAAATACTCCACAAGGTGTAGGCTCTTTAAGGGACAAAAAGAAAGGCTCTACATAAAAATTAGATCATTGCTGTATACGTTAGAAATTTGAGAGAATTGTTTATATTTAGATTGAGAGAAGTAAATCTTATAAAGACAATTTTTAGTTTCTTGGTATAATAAATTTTCCTCTTCTTCCACAAAATTGTATTGTTGTGTGATCCATTATTTTCATATGGCTCATATGTTTTAGTCCTTTAGTTATTTGGTTGGATTCTCAACATATTGGTATCCGATCTGTTTCACTTTCAACAAAGAGATTTCAAATTTGGTCCAAATTATAACATCAACAAATACCAAAAATAAAAATAAAAATAAATCACTTCTTCTGAGCTCAACAAGGCAACAAACATGTTCCACTATAACGAGGTGATTGTTCTTTCTCAAATCAACCACAACACAAGAATGTTATCAGCCTCCTTTGTTGTTGTTTAAAGACCCCAAGTTCCTCTGCTTGTTTATGAATTCATAAAAAATGGCACTTTTTTATAACATAAAAACAATTAAACAAAAGCACTTGCTTTTTCTTGGGACAAGCACTTAACAGTAGCTGGAGAGACTGCAAGAGTTCTCCCATATTTGCACACAACGGCTTCTCCTACTATTTTATACACAGACATCAAATTAGAAAATATTCTTTTAGACACTAGTTATACACAAAAAGTGTCTAATTTTGGAACGTCAAGATTGATTCCACTAAATCAAACCCAATTATATACTATGGTGCAAGGAATATTTCAATACTTAGACCCTCATACATGTAAACCAATCGACTGAAAAAAGATGATGTTAATAGCTTTGGAGTAGTGGATGTGAAGCTACCAACAAGAAAGACAGTATTAAGCTACAATGGATCAGAGAAAGAGAGAAATTTAGCCAGATATCTTCTTTCAACACTGAAGCAAAGCCGCACATTCCAAGTTATAGATGAAAATATTTTATTTGAAGGAAAAAGTGTGGAACTAATAGCATTTGCTATGTTGGTGAAAAAGGTGCTTACACGTGAAAGGAGATGATAGAATTAGCTATTGAACTTGAAGATCTGAGATTATCAGGAAAACGCTCATGGGTTCAACTTGTGTCTATGCAAATGTTGAATGTAATATAGCATGGGCATTGGATATTACAGCACGAGGGGTCATATTATTCCACCAATGGGTGGCACGGTAGATGATCCAAGTATAACTACTAATTTGTACTGATGTTGGATTTCTCATTCTATCAATTTGTCCTTCTAGTGGTTGAAATTTGAAACTTTTTTCTCTATATGTATAGATTCACGTAACTAATTCTGAGCACCAAGGAAATAGAAGTACGTCATTAAATGTAGTCATATTTCATAAAGAATAATGGTCACAAGTTGTACCAGAATACCCAGAGGCCAGTATGGCTAGACTCGATGAATTAGACTGCATAAATATTGTAAAAGAGAATTAAAATGAGAGGGCGAGAGCTATAGACTGCTCATAATCTTGATTCGAATAATCTTTCTTGACTTCATCGTAATTTTTGTTAGCTACTATTAATGACACTGTTTAGTTTTCTTAAAAATTTCAGAATCACACTATATAATTAATTTTGTGGTTTAGCTTTTATTTTTTTATAGAGGCTTGTCATTGTCAATAAAATGGATCCACAATTTACATATTTCTTCAAATTCATCTTCTGCCATTGAACTCACTGAAAAAGGTAAATCAAGTGGTAACCTCTTCTTTTCTATATATATTCTAAACTTCGATTGGTTGAAATTTCTCAAGGTTCCAATCATTTAGAGATTATAAAATTGCAGCTTATGTAAAATCAGATTTCCAAGTATTACATTGCTGAACCAAATTTTACTAATATGGTAGTCATTAAACTTACAATTAAATCTCATTTGTGTTACTAGACTGCTTAGTTTTTATTTTTTGTCACTAAACCTCTTACTCTTTGCACATTTTTAAATTTTTTATTTTCTACGAGACCTTATTGAAAAGCAAAATAATTTAAATCTCATTGTAAGTTCAATAAGCGCAAATATTTGGAAAGACCCTTGTTACATTCCCACTTGTCTGTTATTGTGTGCTCCTATCAGCAATTTATCTTGTCGTGATAGATGTCAACTCAGTGACTTATAAGTTCAATGACTGCCAATTTTTATGACCTCCACCTTTTTAATAATAGGAAAATTTAAGTAACTACTGAATAAATCGATCTATTTTTCATTTTAACTGAAATAATTTTACCTTTTTAAAACCAAAATCGCTAAATAGAAATTTTGTGCAGCTTATTAGAAATTATCAGAAGGCAAATAGGTTGTTGACACATTTATTATAAAAAGAACTAGTTAACGAACAAGTCATCATCTCTAGAATCGATCTCTATCAATATTTAAAGATTGAAATGTTAGAATTGAATGAAAAATATTGAATAGAAGTAATGAAAAATATTGAATAGAAGTCTCTTCATATGTTGTAACTCAAGTAACTCAAGTTCCTTCATGTTTTTAACTCCTTTATCAATGAATGGTTTAACTCCTTGATTAATGAGCTAGCTTTTCCTCCATTGGTATAAATAGGAGTCTCTCTACGTTGGAAAAACACAAGTGAAATGCAAGTTTCTTCCTCTGAGCAACAATCTTCCTTTTCTCACTTTCAAGTTCTTCCTTGTGCTTATAATTTCTTTGTGAGATAGAGTATATCACAGCTAATTCGCAGGCGGTTAATGTAGTGCAGCGTGAACCGACAACCGATTGTATCATGGGAATCGAACACCAATCAAAACCTCTTGCACTCTAGCGAGGCAACGAATTTGATTTAAGGAAACTGTGAATACATAGGCCTTCAGTTTGATTTGATTCTCTAATATTTACCTACAAGCTTAAAACGAATTGGCTTTAGTAAATCAAATTCTGTTCATTAGTTTTTGTCAATTTTTCCAGTTCATGGTTTTTGCATGATTTCTAATTCATTTTAAATGATTGTTGAGTTGTTAATAATTTGACAAAATAATCTATTCTTCAACTCTGCAGTTTTATTTTCTGAACAGATAACTTGATCTCGAATTTATATACAACTTTACTAACTTATAATTATTCTAAATTATTTGTTGCTTATTCCGGTTCAATGGCGTCACATGGAAATAACGATGTGAACAACGGAAGCAACATTGTTGGTACTGGTGTACCAAATCCTGAAATGACCATTGTTAACCTTATGGAGACCACGACTGACATTTCTCCCATTGACGGGATAATTGGAGATGAGATTCCTCATGTTGGAGTGAACCCAACTTTGCCTTCGGCTGCGGCCTCGGCAATCCAGTTTGGCACAATACCTTTGCCAGTGCCTAGGGCTGGGACTTCGGTACCTTTGCCATCGTTCCCGACTCCATTTCTGGTGAATCATGCAATTTGACCGGATAAGTTTGCTGGTACTGATTTTAAGACATGACAGAATAAGATGGTTTTCTATCTCACTACGTTGGGCCTTGCACGTTTCCTCACTGAGGATGCCCCTATCATGGCTGAAAACGAAACTGATGTGCATAGGCGTGCAGCTTGGGACGCTTGGAAAAGTGCTGATTTTTTTTGTCGCAACTATGTCTTGGATGGCCTACAAAATTCTCTGTATCATGTATATGTGGTAAAGAAGCCTGCTAAGGAGCTCTAGGAGTCCTTAGAAAAGAAATACAAGACCGAGGATGCCAGATCTAAGAAATTCTTAGCCAGTCGGTGTATGGACTTCGAAATGGTTGATTCACGTTCAATGGTGAGCCAAGTGCAGGAGTATCAAGTGCTTTTGTAAGAAATGCATGCTGAGGGTCTGACCATGTCTACAGTTGGCTACTGCTACCTTCCCAGTGGAAGGCTTTCAAAAGCTATTTGCAGCATAAGAGGAAAGAGATGTCTTTCGAGGATTTAATTATCAAGCTGCGCATTGAGGAGGATAACAAACGGGCTGAACGTAAGTCAGAGAATTCTTACTCTGAGAAGGCTAATGTATTGGAGTACGACCAAAGTTCTGTTACTAAGAAAGTTTACTCCTTTAAAGTCAAACAGGGTAACGAAAATCGAAAAGATAAAAATAGGCTACGAAAGGGTCTCAGTTGAAGCCTGCAGGTGGGGTAGGAAAGAAACCTAAGTTCCAGTTCAATGGAAAGTGCTTCAATTGTGACAAAGTTGGGCATCGATCAGCAGATTGCCATCAACCTCGGAGGGATAATAAGCAGCGTCCTCAGGCTAATATGGTTGGAAATGAGAGAGATCATCTCTCAGATGAAATGTGATTAGTGAGGTTAACCTGGTGGGGTCTAACCCAAAGGAGTGGTGGCTGGACACTGGGTCACTTGCCATGTTTGCTCCAACAGGAGCATGTTCACTACTTTTATACCAGTTACAAATTGTGAAAAGTTGTTCATGGGAAACTCTGCAACTTCTGAAGTGCTTGGTAAAGGCAAGGTGATCCTGAAGATGACATCTGGCAAAGAGCTTACTCTGACTAATGTGTTGTACGTGCCAGAGATTCGCAAGAATCTTGTCTCTGGGTCTCTTCTGAGCAAGAATGGGTTCCGCATGGTCTTTGAGGTGGATAAGCTGGTGATTACCAAAATAGGAGTTTATGTTGGGAAATGCTATATGACTGATAGCCTGTTTAAATTGAATGTAATTGTTGTAACCCCAACTATTATGAGTAATGAGAAAACTCCTTCTGTTTACTTGCTTGAGTCTCCTAATCTGTGACATGGTAGATTAGGTCACATAAATTACAATGTTTTACGTAGACTAAGCAAACTAAATTACTTGCCTAGGTTTCAGATTGATTCAAATCATAAATGTGAAACATGCGTTGAATCTAAGCTTACTGGGTCTTTGTTTCATAGTATTGAAAGAAGTATCGAGCCATTGGGACTAGTCCACAGTGATGTATGTGACTTGAAATCTATCCAAACACGAGGCGGTAATTAGTATTTTATTACTTTTGTTGACGATAGTATGAGATATTGTTATGTGTACTTGCTTAAAAGCAAAGACGAAGCTATCGATAAATTCATTCTTTATAAGAATGAAGTTGAAAATCAACTTAGTAAGAAAATAAAGGTGCTACGGAGTGATCATGGTAGTGAATATGAATCACCGTTTGGTGAATTTTGTGCTAAACATGGAATAATTCACAAAACTACTGAACCTTATTCACCTCAGCAGAATGAAATTGCTGAGCGTAAGAATAGAACTTTAAAGAAAATGATGAATGCTATGTTGATTAGTTCTGGATTACCACAGAAAATGTGGGGAGAAGCTATTCTTTTCGCAAATTACATCTTGAATAAAGTGTTAAGAAAGAATATGGATAAGACTCCGTATGAACTTTGGACAAATCGGACACCTTCATATAAATACTTACGAATGTGGGGTGGTCTTGCTAAAGTTGTGGTGCCTCTTCCTAAGAAGATCAAGATTGGACATAAGACAGTTGATTGTGTGTTAATTGGTTATGCACAAAATAGTAGTGCATATAGGTTCCTTGTGCATTATTCGAATGTACCTGATATTCATCCGAACACGATTATGGAGTATGGGAATGCACAATTTTTTGAGAATATATTTCCATGTAAGTCTCCTAAACAGTTAACTCCTATTAAACGGACAATGGAATCTTCTGCTTCTAGCAGCAGTAAAGATCCAATTGAAGAAGGTGAGGATGAGCCTAGACGGAGCAAGAGGACCAAAACTTCTAAGACGTTTTGGCCCTGATTTTCTCACATATTTGATGGAGAATAATCCTCAAAGCTATAAAGAAGTTATATCTTCTCCAGATGGTCATTTGTGAAAAGAAGCCATCAAAAGTGAAATCGATTCCATTCTACAGAATCATACCTGGGAGTTAGTAGATCTTCCACAGGGCTGTAAGCCTTTGGGCTACAAGTGGATCTTCAAGAAAAAGATGAAAGCGGATGGCTCATTGATAAATATAAAGCTCAGCTAGTAATCAAAGGTTATAAGTAAAAGGAAGGCTTAGATTACTTTGATAATTATTCTCCTGTGTCGAGAACAACTTCTATCCGGATGATAATTGCTATTGCGGCCTTGCAAAATCTGGAAATACATCAGATGGATGTAAAAATAGCTTTCCTAAATGGAGATTTGAATGAAGAAATCTACACGGAGCAACCAGAGGGGTTTACAGCTCTAGGTCAAGAAAGAAAAGTTTGTAGACTGGTTAAATCGTTGTATGATTTGAAGCAAGCACCGAAGCAATGGTATGAGAAGTTTGCTAATGCTATGCTTTCTAGTGGTTTTAGAATCAACGAGTGCGACAAGTGTGTATATGTTAAGGATACTAATGATGGATATGTCATACTATGTCTATACGTCGACGACATGCTCATTGTCGGTAGCTCTGACAAGATTATCAAAGCCACTAAGAATATATTAAACTCGAAGTTTGACATGAAAGATATGGGTCTCGCGGATGTCATTTTGGGAATAAAAATTACTCGAACACCAAATGGACTTGTGTTATCTCAATCTCATTACATTGATAAGATATTAGACAAGTTCAACAATTCAGATACCACTGTGACTAGGACTCCAGTGGATTTGAGTCTCCACTTATCCAAGAACACTGGTGATGGTGTATCATAGTTAGAATATTCTCGAATAATTGGGAGTTTAATGTAATTAATGACTTGTACGAGACTGGATATAGCATACTCAGTTAGCAGATTGAGTCGCTACACGAGTAACCCAGGTGCTATCCACTGGAAAGCCATTTTTAGGGTGCTACATTATTTAAGGCACACTCGTGATTTTAGACTGCACTATTCTAGATACCCTGTAGTAATCGAAGGATATGCTGATGCAAATTGGATATCAGATATGTCAGATACCAAGTCTACTAGTGGATATGTCTTCACTGTTAGTGGTGCAGCTGTCTTTTGGAAATCGTCCAAACAAACTTGCATCGCAAGATCTATAATGGAATCAGAGTTCATCGCTTTGGACAAAGCAACTGAAGAAGTAGAGTGGCTTCGCCAGTTTGTTGAAGATATTTCAAGATGGTCAAAGCCTGTGCCTGCAATTTGTGTTTATTGCGATAATCAATCAACAATTGGCAGGGCACAGAGCAATATGTATAATGGTAAGTCTGGCCATATTCGAAGACGACACAATACCATTCGACAACTACTCTCACAAGGTATTATCACTCTGGACTACGTGAAATCAAAGGATAATATTTCGGATCCGCTAACCAAAGGGCTAACTCGAGAGCTAGTTGTAAAAGCATCGAGGGGAATGGGCTTGCAGCCTATGACGTTGAAAGGTATCATGGTGGAAACCCAACCTAGATGAATGGAGATCCCAAGATCTAGGTTCAAAGGGACAACTAAAACATGTATATCTGTGTAAATCACTAAGAATGTTCTCCTTCTGCTCATTCCTATGGTGCTCACAGTGATTAGAAAATGCAAGTTAAGCTATGCTTTTAATGACCATTAAGCGGTGTTGTGAAAATCTAAGTTAAGAGATCACCTATGTGAGTGTGAAGTGGGGCCGCTTCTATAAGGATTGGCAAGGCTACATCCTTGAAAAAACACTTGCAGAACCAGGCGACGTGTTCATGGCCAAAATGAACACAACAGTAAGAACTATGCTGTAACTAGAATGGTCCTGTGTGAGATCTATTGTCTTGGTTTACACAAATGGCGAAACAGTTCAAGGCATCAGATCCAGTGGTTTGCTAGTAATTCTCGATAGGTTTCACAAGGGAAGGTTCAAAGCTAAATGCTACCTATCCTATGCAGGATTGATTCGTTTTACTCTCTCTTTCCTCTTGAGTCTTAGTTTTCAATTTTCATTCATGTGGGGGATTGTTAGAACTGAATAAAAATATTGAATAGAAGCAATGAAAAATATTGAATAGAAGTCCCTTCATATGTTGTAACTCAAATAACTCAAGTCCCTTCATATTTTTAACTCCTTCATCAATGAATGGTTTAACTCTTTGATTAATGAGCTAGCTTTTCCGCCATTGGTATAAATAGGAGTCTCTTTAGGTTGGAAAAACACAAATGAAATGCAAGCTTCTTCCTCTAAGCAACAATCTTCCTTTTCTCACTTTTAAACTCTTCCTTGTGCTTATAATTTCTTTGTGAGATAGAGTATATCACAACTAGTTCGCAGGCAGTTACCGTAGTGCAGCGTGAACCAACAACCAATTGTATCCAGGGAATCGAACATCGATCAAAACCTCTTGCACTCCGGTGAGGCGGCGAATTCGATTTAAGGAAACTATGAATACACAGGCCTTCGATTTGATTTGATTCTCTAATATTTACCTACATGAAGTTTCCATGCTATAGAAGACTTTCTAGCGATGCATATAGTCTTGTGGAATCTATTTATTCTTCACAATAGTATTTGGAAAAGAATGATCTAATTAAATATTTAGCACAGGGAAGAATATCTCCGCTCGTGTAAAGTAACTACTTTTATTTTTATTATTTGCATTCTATAAATTATTTATTGATCATCACTTGCCAGTCCCATTCTTGATATATTATGATGGAAATGAAACAACAGCTTTAGAGATGGACATTCCACGGGATATTATTCAAACTAGGCAACTGTAGAAATTAATCCTTCGACAAATAGACTTTCTATATATATCTAGAATACAAGTTAATTTACAAGGACTTTTCAAGAGAAGACTTTGCATGTTATATTTATTTCATCATTGAATTATTCTAATTGATCTGTTACTACAGACAATACAAATAAAATGAAGGAAAAAAATAAAACCTGAAAGTCTCTTTGGCCATGGGATTGTATTTTTCTGAAAACTCGATTCATTTGGTGATATTTTTCTCAATAAAAATTGTACCGATATTTAGATATAAAAATTTCCATGTTGTAGAAGACTTTCTAGCTATGCATATGGAACCTACTTATTCTTCAAACCAGTGGATAACTAATTCAGCCCTTAGGAAAAGAATAGTCTAATTGAAAATTCAGTTTAGGAAAGAGTCCCTCCATATAATCCACAACAACAGCAATAGAGAGGGAAACTCCACGGGATATTATTCAGAATTTGAAAAATTAAGGACTAAAAAATTGATTTTTCGACCAACTTACGAATAGACTTTTTACATCTTAATTTCCATGGACTTGCCAATACAAGAATTTGCAAATTATATAAATATCTCTTATTGATATACGTTTTATTGGACGCTTCTATTCTATTACTACGTACAATAGAAATAAGACCAATCTCAAAGGCTCTATGGCCATGGGATTGCATTTTCTAAAAACCCATTTTATTCCGGCAATTCTGCTTCTATTTTTCTCAATATCAATTTCAATAGCGAAACCCAACTGTACTGATCGTTGTGGAAATGTAAGTATTCCCTTCCCTTTTGGCACGACAAAAGACTGTTACCTCCATAGAAGTTTTTTCGTCAATTGTAATGACACCCACTACGATCCTTCCAAAGCATTCTTAGGAAACTCAGCCATAAATATCACAAGCATATCCCTGGAGGGCCAATTGCAAGTCTGGCAATTCATAGCAAAAGACTGTTATTCTCTGAATGGCAGCAGATACTATAATGACCCCTGGATACAGATTCCCAGATACCTAGCAGTCAATAATACTGCGAATAAGTTCACTGTCGTTGGCTGTGATACAAGAGGTTTTGTATCTGGGAATCGGGTGGACAGGAAATACCAGACCGGATGCAGTTCCCTTTGTGCCAGCGAGGATGATCTGGACAATGGATCTTGTTCTGGTGTTGGCTGTTGCCAGACGTCTATCCCAAAAGATGTCTGGAGAGTTAACATTACTTTGGAGAGCTTTAATCAATACAAGAACTATGATAATCTCACGAATAAATGGGACTTCAATTCTTGCAGCTATGCGTTTGTTGTTGAGGAAACATCATTTACTTTTTCTCCGAGAAATCTTTACGGCTTGAGGAATGTAAAGAAGCTTCCTATGGTGCTTGACTGGGCAATCGGGAATGAAACTTGTGAGTCTGCTAAAAAGAACCTCTCAAGTTATGCATGTCTTAGCAACAACTCAGAGTGTCGCAAACCCGACAACGGCCATGGATATCGATGCTATTGCCTGAAAGGTTATCGAGGAAATCCATACCTCGTTGATGGTTGTGAAGGTATGGTTGGGTTGAATTTTTCCATGTATTATCTTGAAATCCAAACGTATCACTCTCTTTCTCAATGGTCTAGTATTATGTTTTTTCACAATGTATTGATCAATTCATTTTCTTTCTTATTATTTTGTTGATGCAGATATTGATGAATGTAAAGATCCAAGTCTCAACGATTGTGAAAAGGACCGCTGTGTAGATATAGAAGGAAGTTTTCAGTGTGTCTGCCCGAAAGGTTACCAAGGCGAAGGGAAAACAGACGGACGAGGTTGTGTTCGTATTCGTGGTGAATCACTTTCCTTGAAACTTGTTGCAGGTCAGTAAGACTGCTCCGTAGGTCTTCTTAACAGATTTTTCCATTTTTCTCTGTAAGGATTAACCTGTCAACAGAACTTTAGGAATAGTTCACAAATAATTTGTACCCCATTCGGCAACAAAACAGTAGGGATAG